AGATTTAAAATACCGAATGATTCTCTTTTGATCTTCAGTCATCTGAATAAGAGATATTCATATCTATAAACGCGATACGGTCATCAGCTGCTTATTTTAATTTTTCAAGCAGGACGCAAAATTTAACGACAATTATTTGACAATATTCAATTGTCCGTGTAAAATACAATATATTCATACGCATAAATGCCGATACCGTTGGCTACTTTTCTTTTATTTCTAAAACAGGCTGTAGAATTATTTGGCAATATTGTCCATTCATCACGATCCCTATTGTCTCGAGTAGCGTATAATGCGCGCAGAAATTGCGCCAACGCACGCCGAGCTTGAGGTATCCTCGCTCGCGTGCCTTTGAATATCGCGACCACGGTTATCAATATACGCGTTTTTACCGCGCTAACAAAGAAAGCTTAAATTCTCATTTCGCCAAAGTATCACGAACGTAAGCTTCGTTGTGACGGAACTATCATGCGTGTAAACTTTGCCCCGCTCTCTCTCTCTCTCTCTCTCTCTTTGCGCTCCCTCGGAGTGACCGGTTTCTGATTGTCTAATCTTTCCTTGCATGTATTCGCGAATATTCTCGTAGATATCGATATTCCCGCATTTTCGCGACTTTTCAGACGCGATCGCGAAAAGCGCCGTAAAAGTCCGTTGGACGAGTCGACAAATTTTCACACGGTTTTTGCTCCTCGCCGATCGAATTTATAGAGTCCGTTTCGCAGCGCGTAAAAAGTTTCCACCGATGTCGACGTAAAACGTTCGTTAATTGACGCAAATATCGCCGCTCTAATACAAGTATCGACCGCGTCGCGGAAGTGTGGCGAAAGTGTAGCAATCAACGTGGGACGCGCTGCAAGGTGGATGCTGCGCGACATGGAGAGCGACAGCGGACATGGGCGAACATTGGTGGATCTGGTTGGTTGGATGCAACGGGACATCATCAATATCATCATCGGAGCGTTTGACTCAATGCTCGCAAAGAGCTCTTTTATTATTACATTGTGCATGCCGCAAATTTGCATTGACTTTTGTAACGAAAAATAGATTTCATGAATTATTGCCATATATTATGGCCATATATTATTGCCATATATTGTTGCCATATATTGTTGCCATATATTGTTGCCATATATTGTTGCCATATATTATTGCCATGTATTATCGCCATATATTATGGCCACTTGAAATCGCGCGAACAATCGAGAAAACTGAATTTGCCGATAATCGCAAAGGCGCGCGGCAGACGTCACGGACGGATGACAGCAGCCCGTCTCAGGGCTGCTCGATAACAATGCTTTTGCTGCAATTTAACTTTAAACCATAGCGGCCTCCGGTCGCTTTCTATCGCGGACTAACCCCTCGAGCGGGAAGTTCCCGAGAAACGCTCTTGACATAAACGCTGGTTATAAGCGAACTTGCCTCGTTAGGGCCTCGTCGCGGTATCGTTGTCGCGGAAAATAAGGAAGAAAGAAGTTAAACATCCGTACCGTTGTGAAAAGAGGGGCGATGGAGTCCCTTCGCGAGTAGAATGTTAGGCTCTTGCAAACGCGAGCGTTAAATTCCAGCGCGGCTGCGAACATCCCCCGACTAGTTTCTTCGCGGAAACTGAATCTTCATAACTCGCGCTTGATCGTGCATTGAGACTACCGAGGGTGAGAGATTGAAGCGGGAATTGATATAAGCGTGATAAAGCAGTCGCGCATTTTATGATCGTTCTTTAAAATAGGCGCTTCTTTCGTCAATGATAAAGACGAGAAGAAATCAGAGCTTGCTGCCGGTAAGATCGTAAAAACCGCATGGATTTTCCTTCCGTAGCTGCTCCCGCGGCTGTTTAATCCGCATTACGATCATTTTTACGGATAAATATGGGGAAAGTGACATACGCGAATAACCTTTGTTCTTTGAACGATACGTCTCGTAAAGTATTCCAGCTCTTTTCCGCAAGTTCGTCGCTCGTGTTTGATAAAAAATGTCCCGAGACGTGCCTACGAAAAATGTTGCATGTGGAGAACACTCAGCGCGCGTATCATCTTGAAATGAAATACCGCGAAGGAAACTATTCTCGTTCCTCCAACTTGCTCTTTACAAATTTCGGGATCCATGAAAATTTCAAGATCAGATACTGCTTGTTTGTTGAAGGAGGTTTTTAGACATTCTTTGTGAAAGCCTGAAGAGCGAGTATCGATTTCTTTCGAAAAATTCGAGATGCAAATCCAAATGTGTTATTTATACTAGCGTGCGATTGGCCAAGACTTTTTTCGGGGGCGAGTTTTGTCGTTTCAAATCTCGCAAGAATCGTGTGAAGAAAGCTTGAGCTAATTATACGCTCACGCAAAAAGTGAAAACAACACACTTGAATTTGCAGCGACGACAGAGCGGGGATATTTAGCGAGTACTACCTTGAAATTTCCGATTAGATTATATTTCTCGTCAGCTGTCGTTCTGTCGCCTAGCCCCGTCTCTTTCGCCCGGGTGCCTCACCGGGGAAATTTTTCTGGTACGCTAAATCCCGTAAGGCCATCAATCTTATAGTATCTCGTCGATCCATAAGGTTACCTGTACATACATATTTTGAAACATTTTCTTTAGATATTATATCAAACGGATTTTACATGTCACGTAATGTCCTTCGGACTACACGGACATTATTATTTTGATCATTTTGATTTCTTTGATATTCATTAAGAATTATCCAGAAAGCAACTGTCATGTTGAACGACTCAATTGTCGTGTGAAATGTTCTGATTTTCACAAATTCATATAAAATTTTTCATTTTCCACTAATTCACAAAAGTCTTTCACTTTTCACTAGTTCACGCTAGGAAAAAGATTCATGATCGCTGTCCTGAGCAGCTGCAACGCTTCTCCAATCATCTATGTCGACGCGCTCCTACTCTTCCTACTTCTGTCATTAATAACTTGATAATTATTATGAATCTCGCAAAACGGTATGGGACTTTTATGTTTGTCTCAACCCAATCTACCCTCACATCCTTCGGGTTGGCAGCTAATTACCGGACACTTCTTCATGATATTAATCATATACAATGTCAATTCTTTTTTTTGTACATGTTGACATGTTAATTCATCCCTTTTTTTTTAACAATTTTTGTATCAGGGAATTTCTTTTAAAAAAAAAAGGTGCATGAAACCTCGATTTCGAATATATCGAAGCGGGAGAAGAGAGAGAGAGAGAGAGAGAGAGAGGGGAAGAGAGAGACAGAGAGAGAGACAGGTAGAGACAGGGAGAGACAGGGAAAGACGGGGAGAGACAGGGAGTAGCGCGGGACCGTGTTTGCCGTGTTACGCTATTATGGTTGTAGCGCGGACATAAACCGCCTGAAAGTGGATGTAGCACGGACTGCCACCACATGCAGGTTTTACCGCCAAAACCTGAAAGTGGATGTAGCATCGTAGTTCCCCTCTCAAAATGGATGCAGATGGCACCCTTTCCTAGTGCGGAAAGTCGGTGTCGTCGAAAACGCCGTGTTGGCCACTCTCATTCACGTTTCTCTCTGCTATAAAGGCACATGGTTGGTCAATTTAATCGGCTGGTTGTTCCATCGAAATTGACCAATCGCATTTGTCATTAATTAGAATTAGAACAAACGGGATTAGTTTCCGATGGAATAATCAGCCGGTTAAATAAAGCACAGTTGGTGCAAATGGGCATATTGATAACTTTTTGCAAAATTACAACTGAAGTTGCTACTTTGTTCCTCATTTTCTAATTCTTCTCACAGCGGTTTCAGTTAAAATCCTTGCAAGATTACTAAAAAAACGGTTAATGAACTGCAGCTTGATAAAGGTAGCTCTTAAACTTCTCTCTGATTCTAATTTATTGCACTAGGGTGTACAAGTTCAAAAGTTCTCAGAATATTGGTCTGTTCTTTCTAGCTGCACTGCGGAATTAGTGCAATAAGTTAGAATGAGACAACTATATTTTTTCTCACTTTAACTTATTGCACCAGTTCAGTAGTGCAGCTAAAAAGAATAGACCATATAACTTCTCATGATTGGTCGGTTGTTGCGTCGAACGTCGAGTCGTAACCTCGATAGTCGATTCGCAATGGCGGCACGGCAGTTCGGATTCGGTAAACCGCTTCGTGCATATTGCTAATTCGACACGCCAGAAGCGAGTCTTGCGCGCGGATTATCATTCTCGGGAGTGTCGACAATAAATTATATGCGTCTGGCAAAATTTTGAAACATACATATCGCCCACGATGGGTAACCGGGAAAATAGCGAGTAACGTCGTGCATTCGTCGTATAATGACGGTTCGGAATACAAACTTACAGATCACTGTATTTTGCGCTTCTAGCTCGCTAAAAGTAAATGTACGTTATTTATCGTTAGCAATGCCGAACGTAAGTTCCATATACCGTAGTATATAGATTTTGCGAAAGAATCGCCGAGAATGAATTACTTCACGCAACGGGAGTGCCGAATGAAGTTTAACGCGCGTCGATACTTTCAAAATTGCAACCGTCGCGATACTTGTTAATTCAGTTATAGCGGATCGCGACACAGTACGGATTCGAAACCGTCTTGTGCTTCTTACGAGGTTGACTCGGAAATGAATGGTGTATTTGATGTACCGATGATAGATTTTGCACATTTTTCTTTTTGTGGCATTAAATAACTGTGGACGGTGAATATTTTGCGACAAATTGTCAATAGTACCGAGTATGAGAGACCATGCTGTGGCAATCTTTGGGAGTTCAAAACGTTCTACATTTTCAATTTGCTGAAAGAGAACTTGGTGAGTACGATAAGATATAAATTACAAAACAAATATTACGACTATTCCTCACGTTGAATCGTATATCGTATTTGCGAATATTGCGATTAGATGTAAAACAACCGATTTTTTTTTTAATATTAGGAATATTCTTAGTTTAAAGCCGAATCCAAAAATAGGATATAAGATATGGGGAAACATCGTTGTGCTCTTAAGACAATATCATATAATTAATACGAACTAATCTTATATAGGATGCAAAACATTTATTTAAGACTTTGATTTCAAATTAGGTCAATTCTGTACATACACAACAGCTACAGATATATCCTCGGATTGTATTATCAATTTACAATCAATTTCTTCTTATTCTTTTTCTTGTTCAATGTACAGGTATATCACTGATTACATAATAGATATAATATAGATGATAAACTATGTAGGATCTTCAAGTTAATTCAACGACCACAATTTTAGCGTTTCGTTACATTCGTTCCGTATTTAAACGTAATGAACATAGCATCTCTATAAAAATATATCTTTAATCAAAAATCGAACGCACAATTTTCGTTTCAACCGCCTTAACTACTTTACAAGAAGACATAGAATGGTGCTTTCCATCAGCAAAAATTTCCGTCTTAACGACGGTGATAAAAAACAAAATATAGAACATTGCGCGTTACAATGTGATACCATCCGTACCCATACACGTGAAAACAAATATGTGTACTTGGTTATTGCTAAAGTATATGGATTCAAAATAGAACCCCCTCGTCGCTATATATGAATGAATTTCGATCTATGTCATTACGCTGTACGTGTTACCATGAATTTTTGATACAATTCTATAATGCATTAGCAACATAACATCAAACTTTCGCAACAACTGACGGTAATCGTCAAATTGTGAAGAAAAAGAAGAACTGTAAAAACAAGACGTCAGTTATTGCGATGAACATGAATGACAATGGATAAAAACAAAGTTTTATGTAATCTGAAGGGGCGATAAGAGCATATTATTTTACCAAATATATATGTATATTTTTAGTAGCTCTTAAAAAATATTATAATTATTTTAATAATCGCCTATATAATTCACCCTTGTATCGTTAACATGTGAATTGTTAGGGCAAATTTCAAGCATTCGGCATAAAATAAAAACTAATCTAAGATACAATTGTTCTCTTAATCATAAAATTATTTAAAATTTCTTACGCGAGAGCGCTTGAAACAACTCATAAACACGTTGTGCCTACAACTAAGTTTCTTTCCCAAAAGAGCACGAGCCCAGTTACGTAGTAAGAAGAATGTATTGTAACTTTTGGGCTCTCCTTAGACATACATCATTGTCTACGAACTAACAGGCATTTGACAGGCTCGCGATATATAATCAATCGTATATGCCTTAGATTTTTAGTGTTGCTTAGGTAAAAACATAGAATTTATTTCTCTTTATCAGTTTACTACGTGGTAGTGAGAATGCTAATCAGCAGAACTTTTTAGCGCTGTACATGAGTGATCACAAATATTAATTTATAAATAGTCGTTTAGTTCAGTTTGCCTTTTGTTCAATATTGTACCGTATTAATCCGTAACGTCCAAAAGGATAATCCTGATAAAAATAATAGCAATAATAGAAGAATCATCCTTCATAGAATGATTAGTTGTATTTCTTAAATCATATGAGATAATCGCATTGAAATGACAAATGTACTTCTAAATCATGACTTAATTTTTGTTAACATAATATGTTGATTAATGTGTTGACAAATAAAACTATACAATGCTATGAAATAATGGTTAATATTCTTAATCAAGCTTTGATATTACACATCATAAAAGAAAAACATTGAAATATTAATTCAAATTGCAAAACTTCCTGTTCCAGACTGTATTAAATCCGTATTTGTCGAAAATTGCAAGTTTCATGTTATAAAGCGGTATAAAGCTATATATGTATATATAGATATATATATATAGAATATAAAGCTATAAAATTTTTATAAACATGAAATTTCAATTTTTTCAAAATATCGGCCTAAGATGGTATGAAAATATATTATTCAATTCTGATTTACATAAAATTAATATTGTGGTATGATGCTCCATGAATAATCTCTCACAAAACGCCTGTGCAAGTCAAAAATATCACTCGAACCAATAACGCAAGTATTCTACATTAAAACTACAAACTAGTAACAAGATAAATTTTTTTTCTAACTTCAAGAAAATGTTTCTTTTTTTTTGCAAAATGTCATTAACATTATCATGTTATCCGACATGGCAGAAACTGAAATATTTCTGCATTTGATTACAAAATGTAGTCCAGTCGTTCGCGTGTCAATATCAATTCTATGTACAAGCTAGAAGTACGTAAATAAAAGATCATAGTTAAATTGCGATAGAAAGTAATTACCTTATTTAGTTATTCTAAAGGCCATGTCGTCATATATACTTTAGATCATCTCAAATTCTTATGATACTGCAAGCGCGCGTTATGATTATTGGAAATCCTTTATTTCCGTTTCATTATACGGTCATCACAAAGTTATGCCCTGACCTAACAACAATAACTATTGTATTAAAAAAGAAAAAAAAAACACACTCCCTAAACTGTCGGAACTGTAATGTCTTTTACAACTAGATTAAACATCATGTTATCACATGTTTCTGATGTTGGAACCGATAAAAATTTAATTTCGCTACATAATGTATAATACACAAACGTTATAAAAAGACTATTACAGTTTTGCCGCCGATATACTAACTTATGCAATTGCTGCATATTTTCGTCTCTGTAATTACATTTTAACAGTGCAGTGTAAATGATTATCTGTCGTTATTTCCAAAATATAAGTCATCTGTACATTGATAGCAAGTCTATTTTTTTCTTTTCTTTTTTAGCCCTATCAATTTTATTCAAAATGATGTATGATTCAGTATGTAATAACAACATACATATTTGTTTCATTTTATGTAAAATTAAAACATACACATCCTATGCACATTATGTTATGTGAATATAATAGCAGAATATACACAAAACTGCGTATTTAAAAAAGTACATTTAAGAACATATGAAAGAAGAATATTATTATTAATATATTTACAATTATATCATTGAACTTATATAGGTATGATCAAAAATAAAAGGAAGATGTTTCTATAAATAAATAATGAAAAATTTAATATGCCATATGATCGATAATTGATAACGAGTAAAAAAGAAGTATTTCGATATTTCATTTTTTTTTGGAGATAAATTTACATGAGAAAATGTCAACACTAAAGCGTTTCTGTTGAATAGGATGTCTTATAGTATCGTCTTCTCGTGTAAGATTATCTTAGAAGAGATATGGTGTACAAATAATTCTTTTCTACATATAATAATAAAAAGATACTTACGATTTTGTGTATATTACAAAAGAAAAAATACGAGATATAGCATACGGAGAACAGGTAGGATGTGCAGTTTAATACATTAGATACCAGTTTTACACAGTAGAATCAAAGTAGTAAACTCGTAATTAAAGAAAAAGCCATTCTAGAAGGACTATCAGCATGCAACTCTACTATATTATTCGACACATTATGTTTTTTTTAATATTAAGGTGGCTTCTTCATGCTATCAATTACGAGCTTAAATCGATTAAGGTATACAAAATATGCAATGAAAGATGATATAATACACACACACACACACACACACACACTAACATATATACATATATATATATATATGTGTGTATATATATGTATATATATGTATGAGTAAGAAACGTCATTGTGCATCAAGATGGTCAAAATATTTTTCCGCATCTTTTTTGTTCCTTTTTAAGTATCTCTCATTAGATACTTAATCTACTTTGTAAAATCATGGCATCTATTTAAAAATATTATCATACACAATAAATGTTCAGTAACAGTAGTAATGACAATATAATATTAAAATATCTGTCTATATTTTTTTAGTATAATTTAATTATTTCTTATACGTTAAAAAAAGACAGACTTAAAAAAACTGTCAAGTGTAACTTACGTAGCTTACGTATGTTACTTAGACTATCGTAAAGAATTGGCATCAGTTAACAAGCATTGTAGTGTTGTATACCTTTCTATCTGTAAATTGGGAATCCGATTCAGATGTTTATTGAGCGTATTTGCAGCAACGGGTTGGCAAGGTGTAACGCAAGATGGCGAATTACCGACCATGTCAGTTATCGTTATTACGAAAGCCGACCATTCAGAAGGCAGGGATACTTCCGCAGCACACAATCGTTCAGATTGCTCGAATAGTGCCGCTATCGCAGATACGCCAAACTAAAAGAACGAATAAAAATTAACAAATTAACAAATTAAATATATTTGATCTGTTTAATCTTCACCATTTTTCGTTATATGTATATGTGTATGTGTGAGTATGTATATACATATATGTAATAATAATATTTGATTATTTTATTTCATATCTCCTCTTGAGAGAAAACTCTCTAAAATAAAAAATTCTCGTGTGGGAATATTTACTAATATATATAATAATGACTTAACTAACCTTGTTCATAAGAGCAAAAGCCAAACTGTTGTTTTTAATAGGTTGTACAACCGAATTAGATAACGCTCCTGCTAATTGGAGTATTGTATCAAAACTTTTCACAGTATTAAGCCATCTTCGATATTCGGAGTAAAAGTTTGTTAATAAATGACAATCTCTACGACCTATTATAGCTAATCCTTTGAATATTGCAGTCCACAAATCTTTTAACTGCTCTTGATATTCTGTCACATCCAGGTGAGGTAAAAAACGCAGTAATAATGTCTGAAACGTATAGATATATATCGATATACGTTGCGAACATAGCTATTAAGATACAAGTTTCATTATTCGTCTCATCAAAATTACCTTTCCTTTTCGAATACTTAGCATACTAGCTAATTTGTCATCTTGTACTAATTGTTGTAGTGACGATAACATCATGCTGATTAATTCCGGTTCAGTTTTATTTGCACTTGTCTCAGCTTCTCCTTCTTGCTGTTGATGTGGCTCCGAACTAACAGCAAGAGGATTGTTCAGATCTTCGAGTTTCAATAGTATTATGTACAGCTGAAAAACAAAAAATTCTTGATAAGGAAGAAATATTATCAGGATATTAATTTCTTTAATTATGTTAAGATATTGGCAATATACCCTCTCAATTTCAAGAAGTAATTGTCGTGTTCTTTTGGTATCTTTCTGTTGGGATTGAGGAGTAGATTGCGAGTCGCTATTTGGTACAACATCCATATCGATAATTTTACGTGGTGCAGTTACACTACTAAAATGAAGTTTACCCAACGAATTTTCAAATGTAGCTGGCGTATATGCTGATCTTGAAAGAGTTTGAGGTGGATTTGTCTCCCAATCTCTACAAGGGATAAAAAAACAAAGATAAGAAAGTAAATGAAGAACATTACATTCTATTTCACAACTTGAGAAAAGAGAACAAATATTTCTATAAAAATGAATATTTATGCTATTTAGTGCAAAGTAAAATTTTACAATCATATTATTGTAAAATATTTTGATTCTTAATAGGTAAACATGATTAATACAAAGATATTAAAAATCTATGTAAAGTAATGTAAGAAATATGAATTCTTCGTGTAGTTTTGCATACCTGTGATCCCTGTGATAACCATTATTATTATAATGCTTTCTATCTTTTTGCTCTTGATTTGCATGTTGTTTATTTTGTCTATCACAAAACACAGTATAATAATAGTCATCGATATATGGTTGAATTGTATTCAATTGTAACAGTTGAATATTAATTAACCACTGCTTTTCACGACTACTCATAAGACCTGCATATTCATCATACTCCCCCGAAGCATTCATACCATTAATACTTGGAGAGTAATATTGATTATGATAATGTCTTTGATTATTTCTGTCATGATTCCGATGAAGGTATTGGTTATTTTTAAAAAATGGTTGATGTCCGCTTTGTTGTTCATTATGGTGATAAGGTCTATTCTGGTTTCTCTGATTACTTGAATGTGAATAAGAATGTTGATGTTGTTGATGGTTGGTTTGATTATTAGAAAAAGGAGGCATCATGTGATCTGGCCGAAGAAACTGTGGGCTTCCTAAATTTGGATGTGGCGGTTGCTGAAATTTGATATAAGATATACAAATAATATGAAAAATTTCATTGTGATAGTTATGTATGAATAATTTGCAAAAGGAACTTACAGAGAACCCATAGGAGCCATGAAGAGTTTGCCTTTGTACTGTGTGTGGCAACATTAAATGCGGTACAGGATAACGTAACATATTTCCAGATTGATCTATAGTTAAAAGGTTAAACATGTTATAAGAATACTATTGAGATATTTTTACAATTGTTAATTTCTGGAATTTTATTCATATTATAACTATTTATAGATAGTAATACTTTTTAAATAACAATATATGTAATATATGTGACACTCCTTGATGATGGAAGAATCAATTTGAGATAACATAATCAATCAATTTGAGATAACCCACTAATCATAAAAAAAAGTCTAATTAACTAATTCTAAATTTATTGAATATTTATTGGCTTGTATCTTGCAAATATATTTGATAAAAGACATATTTAAGAGTACAATATATTAATGCAATAATAAAGAAAACATCATACTCACTAAGTAGTAATCTAGGAGGTGGCATAAATTGTGAGGGTGGTCTTACATTAGGTAAAACCATAGGATGCGTCCCAGGTATACCTAATCCAGGTGGAAAGCGTAGCGGCGGGGGTAGGCCATTAATCTGAAGTTTCTCATTCAAAGACAGAGCCTCAAAAAGAAGCGAACCCTCAGACTTCTTCTGCTGTTGTTGTGTTTGTGGTTTACTGAGACCTGGTGGTGGCCTATTTGCAATGAGCCCCCTTTCCAATTCTTCCACTGTACAGGCATTTTTCAAGTTAGTTGGTAGAGATAAACGGGGACGAACTTTAGGAAGAGATAGATCAGAAGGGCTACTCCATACACCAGGACGTGGAACTATTCCTTCCTTGTCATCCAATACCAAATGCGACAAATTATCCTGAATATCTACGTTAACACCATTCTATAAAAAATATAAAGTATACATTGAAGGAATATGATACAATATATTTAAATATTTTTTATATTAAGATAAATTATAGAAATATTTTGTTTTATGATTATTTGTTAAGTGTTATCTATAAATTATCAATGCTGTAATGAGGGAAAAAAGTCTAATTCTATCTAATAGCACAATATAGTTCACATATAATTTCTATCATACAATAGTGTGTTCTCGTACAACATCATACAATGGTTCTCCATATTTATTATATTAAGAACATGTGAAACATTTTTATTTATTAAAATATCTTTGTGTATATTTATACATATTTTTATATAAAAACTGACATCTATGTTATATACATAAAAGCATGTTATAGCATGTCTTTATAGCTAGGGATAAAATTTCAAATATACAGGATATCCCAGCAACATTGACATCAATTTAATATTACCTTCTTATTTGTCGCATTCTGATTATGTGGGCGACTTGATTCTGTAATTTTAGCAAGTTTTTCATGATCCTTTTCCCAATCACCAATTGTAGCGTCAGGACCGAATGTTTCATCATTCAAGGCATCATATTCTTCTTCTTCACCAAGATCATCTTCTTCTAACGGACAATCCAATCCGTCCTCTAAACCACTATCCTAATTACAGAAAATAATAATGTAATTTTACCTAATGAGGAACAAAAAACCATGGCAAGCATTTTTGAAAAGAACACTACAATGAGGTCAGAACATATTTTACAATGCTTCTTACTGCAAAATATAAGATTCACATGAATCGAACTTTGATTAAAATAATACGCATAAATGACAATAAACTAATCGGCAATCTCTATTTAAATCTATAGTACTCGATGTTAATGACCTTTAGGGCGAGGAAAAATAAAAGTAAGGTTAGGCTACAGAACTTAGCAACAAAGATCATACTATCATTTTCGGAAGCAATTGCAACAAAGTACGACTAAAAGTAGACGAGTGCGACGAATCGTTCCGTTCTAGGATTACTGCATCAGAGTAACAATCAGTGACGTCTCTTACAACAAAACTTTTACTTTTCTTGGTACAAAGTACAGATATGCCGCGACGCGACTGTTTATTGGAGAGATTTACGCTCACGTAACTCGCAGGAATATGTACTAGTTGAACGCAAATTCTTTGTAATTACAAGAGGCGTTTGTACTTACTCCAAGCGTAGTATCAAAACCGAAAAAAGAGTCTGCCATTTGTAGGAAAGAAATCTGCAAAATAACATGTTCTGATCAAACGTCAAGTATGCGACGAGCATCAGCTGTCATGGCGGTCATGCGTACATGCGACACTGTTAATGTTTACCAGTTCCGGTCGGAATATTTTTGGGTTGAACATATCGTTAGATATTTGTATTATAAATATAAATATTAGTTTCAAATAATCAATGATATATGACATAATGCACAAGCGTCTAAATATGATACATTCAACTTGAAAAAATGTTTATACCGGAAGTGAAAGTAATTCACGACGTCGCGTGTAACTATGGCTCCTTCACAGGATCTATAATGCGAGGTTCACACTGCATCTGGTGTTCAGTATCCAATGAGGAAATCCACTTTTTGGAAATAAAAATGTCATTGGCTGTAGCTTGTAGAAAACTATTTTTCTCGTCGAAAAACACTGTACATTGAATATTACGTACGGTTTAAATCTTCTGTAACATGTAATGATACACATATGAGAAGAAACCACATACGATAATTAATTATTTCCCGTTACAAAGCCGTTACACACACAATCCTATTATAATATCAAATTTAAAAAGCGAGAGAGAAAAAAGTGACGGAATAATAAATATTAACGTTAATAATATTTCTAATGTTTGTCAGTAATTTCACTATATTTTACACAATATTACACACAAATATTAATTTATTAAATTAAATAAATATTATTTTCGATACATTTTTTTTTCAATACGATAGAACCACATCCGACATTTTACAAAAAAAATTTATTTTTTTTTAATTTCTTCAAAATAAATTATTCCGTTAGATATCGACTGCTATTCAAAACGCGCCAAGAAAAAATATATCAACTTTTATGTCGGCAATTTTATTAATTTGCTTTTGAATATATCCTTTATCTTACCTTGCAACAATTCAAGATAATGATTGCTATGTGGGAAACTAATTTTACATTTTGAAATTAAATGATGATTGCTATTTGGGAAACTAGTTTTACATAGAGATTAAAAATGTTGACAAGAAATATAACTCATAGCTTTTTCTCATTTATTATTTTATTGTAATCTCTTTTGGTTATCGTTTTACGGTAAAATATGCGGATTCGTTGTTAGGAGGGAAGGAAAGCAACATTCTCGTCAGAGCGGTTCGAGGCGTGCACTCTTTATTGCCATTAAATCTCTTTGCATCGTACTACTTTCTCTTGGCTCTTTTTCTTCTTCTCTTCCAAATTATAATCCTTAAAATTATCTAATCTCATGCGGATGCCAACGCGTTAAAATAAACGAAATCCATTGTGTTTTAAACGCTACTCGTCGCGTGACAGTCCTCAAGTGTTGCTAGGCTGCTGGCCCTCAATGACGCCAGACTCAAGGAACTATGATTCAAAGTATTCATGCCGTGAGGATCCTCGCAATGCAGGTACAGTCGTGAGCTGACAGATTTGTGGCAGTCGGGGCACAAACGTTTTTTCTTCTTGTCGCGTCTCTTCAAGATGTCGTACGCGCATCTGCAATTGTTACGAGAGAATAAGGGTAGGAGAAATATTCTTTCAAGGGATTTAATGATCAGTGTTTCGTAAGCTCTGCTTATAATCTTTTGTTTTACATCATATAACGGACGACTAGCGAGTAAAAAGTCATTGCAGAAAATTATAATAATGTCGTGATGCAGAATGTTCCCCGCGTGAACTTTTTCGCACAATTTGTTACAATTTGTCTTCAAGAGCAGAGTGTGGTCTTACAAAATTTTTCTTACCTAGCGTGTAATATGTGAGAACAAGGTAATGCTTCCAAAGAATCAGCTTCCAGACCGAATGGTTCGTTACAGCTTCCGCATCGTAACTCCAGATCTTCCTCCATCGCGGTCGCTAGTCTCTCGTGATGCCCTTTTTGTTCCTCATCTCCCAAAGACCCGTAGATTCGCGACAGTCGGGATCTAACTGTCCGCACCAAGAGCTGTAAGTAGTCAGAGCCTTGTAATCTTCTTCTGAATACACATTTCTCACAGAGAATCGTATATGCGCTTTCTCGTTGCGCAAACTATTTCTTTACAGTGATTCTGCGGTAAACCTCGTTTGTTCCCTATCTTATCGTATAACATTAATCTAAATGCCCAGCGATCTCTTTTCTTTAATATTAATCCAATGTTACTTTAGCCTGTATAAAATCCCGATTCTTGACAAACGCTGCATTCGATCCATCTTGGATTTCCTTTAATGATTCAGAAAAAGAACCGTCAAGGAATTTGTTGAATTCTACACGAAGAGAATACTATAACTTTTCCGTATCAATTTATTTGCAGATTTATCATATATTCTAACAGTGCAAAAATAATGAATTTTCTTAAGACGCAAATGTCTTGATATTTAGATTTCAGTTCCCAAAATATAAACAGTACGCGTAAAGTGGAGGAATAATAAATTAAAGCAGAGTATCCTCAAAGCGATATGTTCCTCAAATGCAAAACCCTATAATAACCTTTGCTATAAAATTCTCTCGCCGTATATTTTTATTTTCATTTTTATCGTAATCTCATACGAGAATCTTCTCGTTGTCTTTAATGAAAGACGAAGCGTCATCTTGCAATTTGGAGTTTAACGGCGACCTTCAGCGAACCCCATTGCGAGGTGTTGATGAAGTCACACACTTTATACTTTGAGATAAACTTGTACACATTGCGTTTGCGTTACATGCGCGCATATATAACATCTAAATAGAGGACCAGTTCCATTGATTCATGGACACAAATAGCGCGAGGACCCGGGATGTACACGATATGGGTGTAGTAATATATACATGGAATACCCGTGCGATGTAGCAGTCACGTAATAGTATGTCGATTGTTCTTTTGGCATTTCATTGGGACTCGCGATAACACAGGTCTGCATGATTTTGCGTTTTGAATTTCAAAAGTCATTTCCTACGTCATTTTGTCCGCTAAATACGAATCCGGCTTTAGAATTTCTCTATCACGTCAGGTTTTCCAGGTGATTAGGTTTAAATAACTAAAAATGCTGATTTTGACTATATTCAACCGATTGTTGCTAACAAAGTAATTTTTTTTTTAACAAATTTGCTAACGACATCTTAATGTTCTATTCTTCCCCCTTAAAATCATATAAGATTATTTATTTTACGATTATTTTTGACAGAGATGCTGAAGTTTATTGATATTGAAGATCTATGAGACTCTGAATGAAGACTATCTATTGAAAATCTATGAGACTCAAAGTACATTATAAACATCACGTGACAGTCTATTTCTCATGCATTAGCATGACTTGAATCGATAAATTTATTATTATGAAAACTACGAAAAATTAAAACCAAGAAAATGAAAGAAAATATAGTACTTTATAGTACACAGTAAGAAAAAAAATGAAAGCAGAAAGATAGGATCTTTAGAAGTTATTTTTATAATACTATGTACCAATTAAACATCATTGTTAACATAGCGAAAATTTTCCAAGAAATTTTACTGTCATTTTAAAGAGAATCAATCGCGATCCATCCGATAGAACTTGATCTATAATTCTTATAATTTATTAGAAAATTCGTTCAGGTGTTGGAAAATGGAATGTATAATATATTACATCACATAAACGTATTATTTAAAATTAGCAAGAGTGAAGACGATAAAGAGGGGAGAGAGAGAGAGAGAGAGAGAGAGAGAGAGAGAGAGAGAGAGAGAGATCTGCTTTTCTTTTGGTACGTGCAACTCGTTCTAAATACTCAACGTGTGAAAAGCTTTACTGCGATTTCCGAAGACTGAAGTAAAGAGGAGAAAACCTCCAAGTTTTCACGTCTAACGGAAGGAAGGAAATTGATTTCACAGTACATCGCGTTTTCCTGACTCTTTCTCTCCCTCTCTCTCTCTCTCTCTCTCCCCCTAGTTCTCTCCCTGTTTCTGTTAAATGGAACGAACGATGGGCCGCGCAATCCGCGATCTATATTGGCAGTTTACTTTGGCGCCGACCGATCCCGCCACCTCCAGGAGCCTGGTATTGAACTCGAGGGGTCTACAGTTGCATATCTTGTTCTGGAGTCTGAAAGCTTCTAGACATCTCGCCGCGCCGTCCATCGCTTCCATCTGACACAGCCGATCGCCGGTTGCGGCTGCTGAGCCCATCGCGCTTTCGTACTGTTGAAGCGCTTTCTGCAATATGTCCACCTTTATCTCACCGGTGTTATCGTCCTGAGATGCAGGTCGATGTACTCGATGCGTCAACTAAAGGCTAATTGTATGCGCGATCACTAACTAAAGGACAGATCAAGTTCGAGAGAGACGACTACTTCGCTCGCGCGTCTATGTGTGCGTGTGTGTGTGGGAACGCAACTGCATAAACTTCGGAATTAAAAAATTCAAGTTATATAATGATATCACTTGTGCTCGTGGAATGTTCATTTCAAAGATATCTCTCGGATTAATGTCGAAGCAAAGGATGCGGGATTTCGCGTGGATAAAAGTGTCAATTAAGAAGAGGAAACAGAACCGGATATAGACGACCCTCTAATATTTGGTGTTGTTTTAAATCGAACATTTTTTTCAAATATTTTTGCTATTTACTTTTTAACAGTGTTCAAAGGGATTTGTAGCGTCAAAACAAGGTGAAAGTGGTATGCGTTGCAAGCGTGATGTATGTTGCGTTCAAAATGCTTTTATAGCATGCAAAGGAACGTCCCAGTGATGACGTTTTTCGTCGTTGTTGATAGGATACCGTGTATGATAGTGTTGATATATTCAATAAGGCTTTCAATAGTTCCGATAGAATCACAGCACTTGACGCGAATGCCGATAAAAATATTTGCCTACAAAAATGTTTTTTTTTTTCGACGGGATATGTGATATGCAAATAGATATATAAAAATGTGTTGATGCGTTATTTCCCGTTGCAATGTTCCAAATATGCAAACGAAAAAGAAAGATATATATATATATATATATTTTCTTTTTTATACATATATATACGATGTTTATATATAATTTTATATCAGTTATCATCATAATTAGTATGATCACAAAATGATAAATAGAGAAAAATAAGAGATAACATTATTATACCGTAAGAAGAATTTTACTATAACTGTCCTGGTGAAAGATACGAGCAAGGAAAGTTAAGAGGAGTCGTAACAGTAACTTATGGCGAACTTACATTTATGTCGGACTTCTTCCTGTAAATGTCTCCCATAATACGGATGCTTCGGGCATAACTGGCTTGGTCGCCAGAAACTAGTGACAGCCGTGTCGCTTCCTACACACAATGTGTAAGCAATGGATTCGTATAACTGTTGAACATCCGTGTTATAATATAGCGTGAATTAATTATTGCGATCTGTCTTAACAGCGTTTACAATATACCGTATCTAGCAACTTTCATAAGTCATACAGCAAAGTGCACAATATTCTAAATAGTGCATACTTTTTTCACGAGTATCCGAGTATTCGGTCAAAATCAATTGTCGCGTAATCAACGATGAAACTGTTCTGTGCGGAATGAAAGAAAAAAATTATATATATATATATATCCCCATAGAAAAGTTTGCGCGATATCCTCGCAATACATTTCGTTCGAAGTCGTTTGAAGAAGCGAAAGTTTCGCGGTGATTCCGTATCTTTGATCCAAGTGACGTAAGTTTTCCCACTCGCGCGATTCCCGATCGGAACTTTACCGAACAATAATCGTGAGCGTCGCCCAGCTCGCCCTTTTTCCGCAATGCCGCGGCCATCTGCAATAACGCCGCCCTGTGATGACGCGAATTCAGATCTCCCAGTTGTAAACTTCTGGAGAGATCGTAAGCTCTCGCCGCATATCGCGCGCTCTTGTCCGCGTCCTGTAACCTACAGTAAAGTTCCGACAGGCCGACGTATACCTAAAAAAGAAACCAAATTATCAGGATAGGCAGCTGTCGCCATGAGCAGACTAATTAAGAGAGCATCGCGAAGCAAATTTCCACGCGAGCCCTTATCTCAATATATATTTCAAAGGAGAGAAAGAGAGTGAAGAGTCATTACTTTTCCCCGAATCTCTCTTTCTTTGCCGGAGTCTTGCGAATTTGTGATACGTATCTCTTTATTTTGCGAGATCATGCACACAAGAGATAAAGCAACACGGCATTGTAACGGCGGCATTTTTTTCAAATCGCATTGACATTCCATTATCCAAGAGGAAATGGAAAAGATATATTAGTCGTAAAATTATATATCGTATCACAAAGACGAATTACTTATTTTATTTATTTATATTTGCCATATAACATTCTATGGCACGTAGACGTATGTTCGTAAATAGGGAGGTTTCTATTAACAAACAATTCTCCTAATTCTGCTAATTGATAAGTAACTCTCCCATGAGAAAAAGAATTCTCTGATTGAACCAGACAGATACGTTCCGAAACTCACATGAAAAGTTACGAACAACTTTCCGGTCCTCCACTGTACACTTTAAGGAGTCAACTCCAGAGTAAAACAATAAATTCTAAACTCTAAACACAAAGTAATCCCGACTTGCAACATCTGCGTATTTACCGGGACAGTAATCCCAGCAATGACAACCAACATACTCGCTCGAGGATTCAGACAGTGTTTATCACGCGCTGCAAACAAATTGGATCAAAGATGCAATCGACTGACTTACATTCGACAATGCGAAGGAGGTCGGGCAAGACGGGTTTCTCGCAAGAACGCGACGCACGACTTTTTTAATCGTTCTACGTGGTCCTGTGCGTTAATTAACGCGAACATCGCGACAATAATGCGCGATGCTTGTCGGGATCGCGTGAGAAAGAAAACAAAGAGGCAAACACAAAGAGAGCTAATTACCTGCAGTTCTAAGGAGGGATCTTGAATGGAGTGGGCGATTTTGTGGGCTCTCTGAAACGCTTCCAAGGCCTTGCAGAATCCCGCTAGTTCTAAGTGGACTCTGCCTACAGTTAAGTGAACTAATCCAGCAGTGGCGCACTGGTCGCACTCGTTATACAAGCTGCGTAGATGTAAAATTACAGGCGTTAAATCTCGATATGTACACACACACACACACTATATTATATATTGAGAATCACCGACAATCAGTTATTTATATATATCTATCGATCACGATCGACTCTATTTCCTTGAACTTATTATCATTGTTCTTACGATCAGAGGTATACCATACTAGATATATTTTAGTTTAGTTTTTGTGCTGCATGATCTTTTGAGCATGTCGACGGATAATCTACTTGATGACCGTAAATAGATATGAAAGACGTTCAAACCTGTGCCGGGCATAGTCTAACGCTCTATCCAGGGCGCCTAATCTCTCGTGTGCCCTGGCTAAGTTCAAATACGCTTCCGCCCGCATGTTCGGCGAGTCCAATTCTTCCGAAATACATAATTGCTTGTGACCGAACTCGATGCTGTCCCTGGAAGGGTAAAAAGCCTGACGATGGAATCGAATCGCCGTAAGACCCCTGCGAAGGCTTACACTGAGAAGCGAGACGAAACAGGAAACGGGCAGGCTGAACGTGGTTATCTTCGCGAAAGATAGCAACGATCGAGATAAAACCGGGACTTAAACTGGACAATTTACACACAATTAAAAATTTACTTTTATACTATACAATAAACGGAAGATTATATTATCCGCGATGCAATACGTTTGATTTTGTCTAAATCGGCGTTCTTAATCACAGCTTTATCTTTAGCCCGAGTTTCGACCTTTTAATATACCGCCAAATTAATCGATAATAGAGAGAAACAATAATCACTCTCTCTCGTCAAACGTGGGACAGTTTCAGCTTGCGAATGCAATTTGGCTACGATTTTTCTACGTGAAGAAATCAATGAGCGGCGAAATCGTTAGATGGGTATTAGAACCACTGACAATGTTGCGTGCCGCTCCTTTGAGTCGACACCGAGAGATCCGTGATGCGGACGCATTATAACAATACGCATTATATGCTACGACGTGAGCTTTCCGCCGGTCGGTGCGCGGCTCGAGAGCGCACGTTGCTCGCCTCAAAAAAGATTCAAACTTTTAACTGCCCGATGAAAAATCAACATAGCAACATAAAACAAACACCACCTCATCTCGGCATCTTGTACTGAACCCGTTTATGTCGTATCATACACGCTCTTGTAATGACATGTGTTCTCATGTGTGTATAATTTTGACATGTGATATTTGCGATATATATGATTGTATAGGGATGCTGAAATATATTAGATTATGGGAGATCTAATGCAAGACATATTAGAAAGTATACAGATATTGGAAGGCATCAGGTTTCACGCAGTTTCATGCAGTTAATGAAAGGAAAATTGCAACGATTGCAAAGATTGATGAATTTTACTACTCCGATGAACCTACCCCGATGAATCACCTATCTCGTATCTGGTAGCAGATCTTTTTTAATAATTTTGAAAAATTAAATTTTCCTTATTAAGATATCAAATACGTTCTAACATTCATCAAATGCACTGCAACCCTCTTCTTTTACTGTCTGCATCTTATTCAAAGCATTTTGTACAAATTCTGTGTAATTCGTCACTTTTTTTCATATGGTACACACATGATTTCAAAACCGCCCATTACTCACTCTCTTTTGGCTAAAGTACAGTTAAAATATCCGACTAAAAATCGCCTGCCAATATCGGGTCAATATAAAAAATCTAATAGTGTTTAATAATTGCCCGATGCAAGAGTGGCGGTCGTAAAATCCCCCGTCAGGGACATCAGTCTGATCTGTTTCGACTCAAATACAAATAGACAGTACATACAAACGGGAGCAGAGCGGGTCTTTCGCGCTCGCACGGCTTTATTCCATAAAAATACCTGTATTTGCCCCAATCCATGTACGCCTGATACAGATATCCGAGAAGAGTGAATTTATCCTCGCGGTGCCTGATGCTCTTCAATGCGCCCCTCCATTTTCTAACCGCGGCTTGTTGTTTATGAGCCCGGTACAATTTCAGACCCTGCTCCACCTGAGGCACACGAAACAACAATCCCGGCACTTCGTGTCGCAATTTACAACAAGCCGTCGATTTATAGTAGTAAATGCAACATGTATTATAACTCGCGCGCGCAGTTTCCTCTTTCTTCTTCTTTTCCCGTTTCGTGAGAATTCATCGCGGGGCGGGTGAAAAGACGAAGATCGTTACAAGCTGATCTCCCCTTTTCTAAATTACTCGTCCGTGTAAAATCTGTACCGTCCGATTTAACGCATCGCTTCTTGCGCGAGTCCTTGAATTTCCGCTGATCATGCGCGCGCACTCTTGTACTTTTCCCGATATGCCCATGTACTTCCTCCTGGTCAATCATGGTCAGAGACCGCGGACGGCGGACCTTGAAATCGATGCTCACGAAATTGACATTGAGTCAGTCCCGGCCCTCTCAAGCGAAGACGCATCGTCTAAGAACGCATGTGCACATCAAAGAGGAAGTCGCGCGAAGTCTATTAATACGGGTAATATTAATAGACGGTAATCCCCTTCATTACTAGGCTCGTTTGATTGTCGCGTGACTCTGCGGCTCACGCGCCGCTGTTGTGCATGTAATTCCGCATACTATCAAAATTCGGGGAGGATCCGCTCTTTATAAAATCGTGAAAACAGTCTTGATATTCCGGAAAATAACGGGAATCGATCAGCCGACAGAATGGGAACAAAAATTGTTTTGCGCACGCATGCATGCAACGTGCACACACATGTATGTATATAAGTTATTATATTCCGAACAAATTGGGTGTGAAATTCGGAATTTTATGTCGCCGATCAGCGAGTTTTATGCTGACGACCGGGCTCCGCATTTGAAATTTAATTTCCGCGCGGAATTATACTGTCTACATAGTGGCGAATAAATTAATAACGCGAGCACGCTGCATTGTGCAGTTACGGGTTTTAGATGATTCGCGCGCGGAACGGGCTTTAAATGATAGGTGGCCGCACCAGGAAGAGCAGATCGAAGCTGCGATACGCAAACGTGATGCTCTTTATCACGCGGTAATAACCACAAAGTAGATAATGCGATGAATAGGAGCGAGCTGCGGCAGAAGGCCGTATCGATTCGACCCTGAACCTTGCCCCCGGCAGATCTAGCTCTACGATAAAATATAAATAGCGTCTCGAGGTACGTAAAAATGTGTCCGCGTGCGTGCGCGCACGACCGAGATAATAATTGCCGCGCGTCAGAACGTGGCGGAGATCTAACGATACGCGTTGGCGCACCGCCTCATTCGCCATCATCTCGGCAACCTTGCGAAGAGCCTTGTTGAGAAACACTATCGTGGTGGCTCGAGGACAGGACATTTTCTAAGGAACACATTCCCGAAGGACGAACGAACGTTCTCGTGCCGCGGCGCAACTTCGAGCCCCTCTCGGTTGGCATAATAAGCGAGAATAGGATTTTTAATGTTACGGCCTTGACATTATTATGACATTAATTTTTTTTATCCGTGCTAGGATAGACCTGGCAATCTTTATGGTCGATCTTAGCAACCTTGCGAGTGAAAGCTCCATGTGCATAGAGTATAGGTGTTTTGCGGTCGCAAGGACATCAAGGAGTTTTGAGTAGCGCGGGGATTTTCCTCGGAGAAACGACATCGATATAAATCTCCGTGGGTTTTTGCCAAATACGTAACGATCGTGGCGCGTCGCGTAACTTCGATGTGAGAAAATGTGAATGCAAATTATGTTCGTTATTATGTAAAGCGGACATCATATGGATCAACTGTCAGACGCGAAGCGCGAAATCATAAGTCTCGCTAGGTGAAATGTATTCGGAACGTTGAACACGGTACAACAAGTACTTCAGTTTTAGCGGTTACGGAAGGATAGCGTGACCGCTCGGCTACGGCATGCACATCGTGAACTTGACAGTGACCGATAAAGCGTGTTCGCTTGCGAAATATGCCTCGTTATGTAGCCGTCATGTCCTTTTGTTGCTTGAGTGGCCCTTCAGATACTGTTACTCGTTTGACATATTACACGCCGGGTTCTTTCGACGCGTTACACCGTTCCGATGACGTCGCGTTCGTTGAATACCGCGAAACGTTTCGAGAATCGCGCATTTCGATATTAGTGATATTAGGAAATCGTGTTCACTTTTTGAAGTGAGAACTTTGATAAATGCTCTGGAACCTTGACGGAAAGCACAGTGGGCACGCTGAACGTTCGCAAGTCCCGATGAATAATTATAGCGTCGGGTCTTTTAAACGAAACACAATGCACACACTGTGCATTGTGTAGCACAATGCACTATGTAGCTAAACAAGCGGAAACAAGTCAAACAAGTATAATATTATATCCATTTCAAATGCGCGCGCAACGTTTACATCTCTATATTTCCTTTAACCGTTTATATGCCAATCAAAGAGAATCAGTATATACCAGTGTAATTTCGCTGGGAAGCAGAGATTTTACGTTCGTTATATCTTCTACTGTTTTTCCGCCTTTTTTCATTCTATTACCAAGCTGTTATAATTTACTCTCGAATTTCTCTGTTGAACAAACTTTAATGTCGCACCGCGTCTCGCAGACACATTGCCTTTTACGAGCAGGAACGAGCATCTGTACCAAATTCAACTATCCGATTCAACTTCCCCGAGAGAATAAAGGTAAAAGAGAGAGAGAGAGAGAGAGAGAGAGAAAATATATATATATATAATAAAGTACTTACCCTTCTTCGAGCTAATTGTTGATCAAGCCGCTTTCTGCAACCTATGAGACACTCCCATATACCAGCACCCGACCTACCATTTTGGTAATGGCCGTTACTGCCATTGCCGTTCTGATTTCTGTAATCCTCCTCGGAAAAGTCGCAAACGTCGAGCGGATGCCTCGATCCATCAGGGCTACCCAGCAGCTCGGTCGCCGAGAGCTGATGACTCGCCGATCTGTGACAAATTTTTCAAAAAACTCAATGTTAATTCGCGAACCGATTTTTGGAGTCTCGTCATCTCTCTCTCTCTCTCTCTCTCTCTTTCTCTCTCTCTCACTCACTCACTAGCATTATCATTTTGTCGTGTTCATATCTTAACAACGAGCCACTTGATAGCTCGTAGTTAAGACCACCCACAAGTTGGAGGAGTTGTAACTCTCCCTACGCCTTGCTATCTCATAAATCATTCCGAGTTTGGCTAAAGAAAGTAACGGTAATTAGAAGAGAACCATGGCAAGAGAGAAAATTAATTTGCCGCCCTGCTTCTTGAACACGAGAATCCCGATATTCGCTGCTGAATCGTGAAGAATGACAAAACCGCGCTTGTATGTGTGTATGTGTGTGTGTGTGTGAGCGAGCACGTTGTAAATAGAGTGGAATCATTAAGAGGTCAACGACTACTTAGTATCGCTTTACATCTATCATCGGCTATTTAAGGGTGCTCGACGGTATTAAAGGTCGATTTGAGCAGCCGTGGAATTCCATGCCCTCCGTGAAATCCGATGAGAGGAATTTAAAGAAGACGTGACCGAGCGCCGTGCGGTATATTCACAACATCGATCGCGCTTAAGTTCCGTAGAAATCCTAAAATTGTTCTCACGTGCGGTTGATTTATGCTCTCGATATGACAAAATGGAACGTATCCGTTTTCTCGGCGGGATACTCGTGAATACTTAACGCGCGCAGTTACAAACCCGTCGTAAACCAACGGAAATAACATTATCGTGCGTTACGAGCGCGAGTTAAAGGGAAATTTCACATTTTACGCATCGAGTTAGCAAACAGCGGCCTGTTCCGTCGAATGAGAACCTTAGCACGACACTATCAGCTTTTCCCTTTCTCCAAAATGTTAAATGTCCCGCGTTCGTCATTTTGCGGAATACCCGTGAGAACGATTGCGCCATCATTCCGAATATAAAGTATCCCTGCTCCGATCGATATCACACAGGTCTGTATTTTGCGTTTTGGATTTCAAAGGTTATTTCCTACGTAATTTTGTTGGCTGACTACGAATCCGGCCTTAGAATTTCTCTATCACGTTAGCTTTTCGAGATAATTAGGTTGAAATAGCCAAAAAATGCTGATTTTGACTATTATTGCTAACAAAGTAAGTTTTTTCAATATTCGCTAACGGCATCTTAATGTACTATTCATCCTCCTTAACCCCTTCCGTGGCAGAGCAAAATTCAGTAAAATGCACTGAAACCGCCCCAAAAAAATGACGGGGCGGATTTTTTCAATAATTTGTATACTTCAGTTTTTTTGGTCGCTGGAGCCAAATTTGAGGTCAAAATATAGAAATTCACTAAATGTGCCACTTACGGCACGGTTTTGGCTGAACGCACCAGTGCGTCCGTGCCACGGAAGGGGTTAAACTCATAAATGATTTTCTATTTTACGATTATTTTTGACGGACATATTGAAGTTTATTGATATTGAAATCTATGAGACTCAAAGCACGTTATAGACATTATGTGACGGTCTGTTTTTCTAGCATGACTTGAATTGATAAATTTATTATTATGAAAACTATGAAAAATTAAAATAGAATAAAATAGAACAATAGAATAAAGGAAAATATAGTACTTTATAGTACACTGTGAGAAAAAAGTGAGAGTACAAAGATAGGATTCTTTAGAAATTATTTTTATAACACTATGTATCAACTAAACATCATTGGTCACGTGGTAAAAATTCTCTAGGAAATTTTATTGCAATTTTTCAATCAAACTTCCAATGTTTTTATGTTGAATTTGCGAATTATAATAATAATCAGTTGAATATAGTCATATAGCAGTTTTTGGCTATTTAAACCTAATTATCTCGAAAACCTGACGTCATAGAAAAATTCTAAGACCGGATTCGTATTCAACGGACAAAATTACGTAGAAAATGACCTTTGAAATCCAAAACGCAAAATCATGCAGACCTGTGTAACCGATTGAATATAATGAAAATCGGTATTTTTTGGCTAATTAAACCTAATTATCTCGAAATCTGATGTGACAGAGAAATTCTAAAGCCGGATTCGTATTCAGCGGACAAAATTACGAAAATTAGAAAATTAGAAAATAGTCTTTCAATTCCAAAACGCATAAAGTTTTTGAAATTTTGCAGACCTGTGTATTTTGCGAGCCCATATTAAACACTAGATAGTTAGATGATGGATGTCGGCGACTGACCTCTTGCGGGTTCGATGTGCGCAGATTCTTAATTTATTTCTAGGACGAGCGGAAGGAGCACACGGAGATAAACCGCTTTTGGCCGTCGTCCCAGAGGTTGAGTTTGCAAACTGCGTGTTAGGAAAGTTACAAAGTATATGGGGTGTCTCATCCTTGTCAAGTTGCTTTTCGTTTACAAATTCTTGGAGCGAGTTCGTGTCGATCCTCCCTCACTGGAAATATTGCGAGATTTTCCCAAGACGCGCCTTTAAACTCGGATAATTAATTATCTCGCTGACAATGCCTTCAATTAAAGTGTCGCTGAGGTAAAATTTACATGAAACAAAATAAGAATGAAATTTTGTCGTCAGCTCGCACCTCTGAAACTTTGTCTTCTCCATTCTTTCGATTATTCACTATGCGAAAATTATTATAATTCTAATCTTTTCATTAACGCAGGAAAAATTGATCTCTCGCATAACGATGAAAACTTTCGGACGAAATCCAGAATGGTAAAGCAATGAAGTACATCTGGGGCACCCCGTATATATAGGGCCAGGGGTTTTTACCTAGGTACCTATATCTACCCTACCTTACCCTACCCTATCCTACCCTACCCTACCGCAATACGACCCACACTGTGCATCACCACCCACCCCGAGGACACTAAAATTTATTTCTATTTCGATTTTCGATTGTAATATACACCGAGACGCGGCAAAATGTCTCGCTACGTCCTCCTGTCATCAGCTACATCGGTTCCCACTTGTAACTCCAGCAACTTGAAACACACGCGCGATATCTCTTATTATTTTATATCTACACATCCACGTGTATACGTTTCACACCACTTCAACAGAAACATTCTAACGTATACGCCTCCTCTTGTATTTCCGTTTTCTTTTTAAAATAAACCAGTTACTTTCACAGATAGACACTTTCGACGTAGATACTGTTTTATAATACGTAACAGTATCCACAGCGCGAGTATAACGTTTCTTCTCGTTAAGCGGCGTTATTAGAGAGCGAAGGAGTTAATTGGTAATTATTTCGCATTAGGATTGATTAAGGTAAACCACCGTAGGAGAAGATTTACCTCGCGCCTGACACTTGATAGAAATCCCGTGGGAATCGCGGCTCCGTCGCAAATTACTTTCTACCCACGCTAAGGTTTCCCCCCAAAAACAGCCGCGCGCGTCTCTGTATGCGCATTTACATGTGTTGTGCGTGCACGCGCGCGCGTCAACTCACTGTTTCTCTTTTGCACGCTTGTGTATATATATATATATGTATGTATGTATGTATGTATACAAGCGCGTATCGTGTAAAGCGAAGAGTATAAGACACTCTATCGCTTTCCCGCCGCGTTCGCTAGGTGGGCGAGGCACCTGCGACCTCTTTTGCTGACCTATTTACGAGCTACGAGGTACGGTACGGCGTTGCGATTCTAAGTGGAAAATCGAACCATCCTCTAGCTCTTCCACGCGTCGTGAGCGATTAACGAATACAAGACGCTCGGTTCCGTCATTCTCCTGAAATGTACGCACTTTCCGCCTCGCCGGAACGTCTTCCTCGCGTTTAATCTCGCGTCAATCTCACGTTTCAGGGAGCATGTACACCTAACAGATCGAAAAAAAAAGTAAATTTCGGGAATTTTTTTCTGGAAAACTATTGAAGTTGTGGGATCCAAGTTTTTTTATATAAAAATTCTTTAAGAGAATATTTATGATTTTTTATAGTCAGCAGTTATAAAAAATAATAGAGATATAAGCGAAAGAAGCAGTGTTCGAAAAGTCCACATCATCGGTACCAGATGTAGTAGCTTTCCTAAAACTCAACTGAAACAGAAAAGAGAAATAGAATATTAAAATAGATAGTATAATTTTCCGCGTGTCGTAGCCGATTTTGAAAATATCAATTTTTGACAAAATAGCAGACGTTGAATCTATAACATAGAGATTTTCAAGGAAAAATTCATTCATTTTTCTCCTGTAAAAAAGAACTAAGTATCGTAAAAAAGAAATCCTATGACATACAATAGAGAATTATGTATAGAATAAGTAGATGCGACGACTATTCTCCCGTGCAGCATATTGATGTGCGTTCGGTCCGACACTTATGTTCATCGCATACATTATTTGTAATAATGAAGCTGCATCATTATTAAACATGCAAGTAGCTATATATGCAGCAATTTCGACAATAATAACTCCGCTATGCATTGTTTTTGGAATTACTTTTCACATTAAATTATTCAAGCTTACTCGTCACTATTTTGCTTATAACCAATAACGCGTCATATTCCGATGTAGCAGAAAACACTTAAAAAGTTCAAAATTTAATATCAGGTATTAGGCGTTTCCGGAACTGGAATGTCGTTCGCACTTTTTAATTTTTTCGCACTGGCACTAGTACTTGCCTTGTTTCTTTCGGCTTCGTATCGATTTTTAGGTGGCATCCTTTTTCGTTATATCTTTCCTAAATCTTCCAGAAATATGATCTTGTCTCGATCCTTTCCTTCCTTTCATTTTCACTTAGAACATTGCAAAATGAAGGCTTCGATCTTGGCTCTAATTGCCAGCTGCACGAACGGCAAGCTACTGATGAATTAAGCTATATTTATGTCTGGATAGCCGTTACGTTCAAAATATGTGATTAAAACAGGCTCTGTGCAGATATACAACAGCGAGAAGTATAAGCTATATAACAATAAATTCGGGAAGAATAATACACAGGACGAACAGTCAGGCCACGCTACCTGAGTGGCTCCCGCCTATGCAAGTTTCCAATGTCTCAGGCCTATAACTTTATCATTTGTTGCAATATTGACTTAAAACTTGGAGAAAATATTCTCTACACATAAAGCTTTAAGAAAATATAAAAAACGAAAGATCGATTTTTTAAACTCTGCTAGATGTGTATGTGCCCCCTTAAAGCCACTCGAAACAAGAGGAATGTTCTCCCACGCGAGGGAATCTGCATAAAAATTGATCCCGCGAAATCATGGGGTACGACAAAAGAAGATTATATGCGTTCAAAATTTTTTCCTCAAAACATTACATTGTCTCGAATAGCGCGGGAGAGGACGGCAGTTCGTGGGGGAGATTGAAATTTCGGGATGTCATCTCTTTCTCTCGAAATAATCTCTTTCAGTTTTTCTCTCTCGTCCCCATCTAAATCAAACCACAGAACGGGAAAAGTACGCGACATTCGGTGTAAAATATGAAAATTAAACCTCTGTTACTCTCGCAATTTTCACGCTGCGGCAGCTCTGCAATTTGTTTTTTCACAACTGCTATTTCGTCATCGCGTTAATTTTCAACGTTAACTGCGCATGTTATAACGCAAACAAATCATCATTTTCGCCAAAATATGAATTCATTAGGCCACCACCTCAATTTGTAAATTGGCTGCGTTCCGAACATGAGGCAAGAGGAGAGAGAACCTCATTTCAGAGACACATAATCCCGACACTTTTCAGCATCGGCCCGTTCGTTTCTCCCATTCTTCTGTATATACGTACATGGAAAGCACACGTTTCATTTCCCATTTCTCTCAGAGAAAGATGCGCTAACTTTTATTGTTTCAAACACACGTCCGGCGCACGTCCTGTTAAGCGCGTTTGTGTAAACTCGCTCCTTTGTGTAATCCGCGAACGTCCTTTCTTTTCCGGTAAACGTATTAATAATTACTTCTCTTACTGCACACGCATACACACACACACACACACACACACACACACACACATTGTATTAATTAAATATATTAACTGCAATCGAAACAAAAACAACGAAATATTTAAGCAATTACGTTCGCTTCGATGTCTCGTGACAATCAATAACCGTAAATAATTGGTTAAATAACAAATATCGAATATTGAATCAACGATAGAAAACGCAGGTGAAAACGCTGCAAATCGAGTAGAGAGAAAACTGGGCATGCTCTTTTCTACCGGCGAAAAACAATACGTGAAACACAGAACACTTTCGGACACCGCGTTCGTATCACGCCATTCACTCCATTTCCGTACCATTCCGTAATAATAAATTAATCGCGGACGGGTAACGAAATGTTGCATACCTCTCGCGAGCCCATCTTATTGAACCGAGACGATCTTCGCCGGCGAAGATCAATTTATACGAGCGTGAAACAACGAGAATTATTCTCGCGCACTTTCTCGCTTCTGACGTCACAAACCGAAACAAGTGGCATAGACGTCGGCGGTCCCTCATCTCGCGCTCGATACAATTAATGTTACGCCCCGACGTCCGATGCAAATCGTGGCTAACAATTGTACAACGCGGCCTCTCTTACTTTCCATTTGCGATAATTAAGGGGTTCTCGCCCTCACGAGATCAATTAGAATATACATAATACGGCCAACTCACGCCTTCCGGTCGCAGTCTCCTGCTCCTCGCGCTGCGAACCGTAGAGGTCCTGGTGGTGGGTCGCTATTTCCGGAGTAAACAACAATACTTGCCCGAGGTAATACCTGGACGAAATAGACTCCCATGACATGGCTGTGCGTCTTCTTCCTTGGCTGCGCGGCTTCTTCTTCTTCTTCTTCTTCTTCTTCTTCTTCTCTCTTCTGCCCCGTGCTGCCCCAGCTGTTTCTTCTCGCTTTCTCTTCCCGGCGCTCTAATCTCATCTCTCGCCGTCAGCATTGTCCCGCCCGCGCACCCGCGTAAGACAGCGCATATCACTTGCTTGCTTGGCGAACGACACAACTCGCGGCCCCGCCGAAACTCGATACAACATGCGTTGCCTCGAGGCCCCAATCGGCCTCATTCGATCGATCCCCCGCGAACAGATACCCCCTCGACCTCGACGTACCGCGTACTATAGAGAGTCTTGTCGTCCCTCGCGCAACGAGCTCGAGGATCAAGAGATCGACGGGATCAGGATCCCGTGCGATCGGAAACACTCGAGACGCATACACCCGTTCGATCGCTGATTACGATCATCCTACGGATTCACCCGGCCGATCTCCGCATGTTTGCGGCCAGAGGAAGGAGGAAAAAGCTGATGTATGTATGTGTGTGTGTGTGTGAGTGTGTGTCGGTTCGTATAAGTGGCGAGAGGCAACGGAAGCCGCGCACCTGTCGAAAATCCGACAACTTCGATTCAGCGACGGGACTAATTCACGAAGCGGTAACACGCAACGGGTCGCCCACGAGGGTGTGAGAGCCCTCGTCGGCGAGGTCGGCGAGGACACGGGGACGAACGCGCAGCGTCGAAGACGTCGAGACGTCTCCGCTTGACTCTTTAGGTTCTAGGACTTTCAGTTGGACGACGCGTCGAGTGACTGTCGGTTTTGTTCCTCGTTTTGTTGCCGCTTCCCCGACGAGAACTTGCTCGTTTCGAAAGCGTGGG